GAGGCACATGCACCCATGTACACACAGGCACTCGTACATATACACACAGGCGCTCGTACATATACACATAGGCGCTCACACATGCACAGAGGCACACACACCCATGTACACACAGGCACTTGTACATATACACACAGGCGCTCGCACATACACAGAGCCACACGCACCCATATGCACACAGGCACTCATACATATACACACAGGCACACACACACAGGCACTCGCACATACACAGAGGCACATGCACACATATGCACACACAGGCACTCATGCATATACACACAGGCACACACACACAGGCACTTGCACATGCACACAGCCCCATGAGCCCATATGCACACAGGCACTCATACATATACACACAGACACACACACGCAGGCACTTGCACATACACAGACACACACTCACACACAGACACACACACACACACAAACACAGGCACTCACACATACCCAAATACAGGCACACACACAGGCACATGGTCCCCTACACACACAGGCACTCACAAACACACACACACACAGACACACGTATCCATATGTGCACACTCACAGGCACTCGCACAATTGCACTCATGCAATTTAGGGATAGGGAGTGTTAGAGTGTGTGAATGTGTGTGTGTGTGTGGAATTGCAACAACCATTGGAAAACTAATCACAATTTAGGGATAGGGAGTGTTAGAGTGTGTGTGTGTGTGTGTGTGTGTGTGTGTGTAATTGCAACAACTGTTAGAAAGCTCATCACAGTCCATGAGGGAATGTGCTGCCTTAATGAAGCCCTTGGCCAAAAACCATACTGAGAGAGAAAATGTGAAGACTGAGCTCTGAGCACATTACCTGTAATGAACCTGAAAATAGACTTGGGGAATTTCTGAAGTATTCTTAGCCTCCGTAACGGCCATTGCGCAAGCTGCCCGGATTGCAGCGCATCTCCAGGAATCCCACAGACCTGGGAGAAGACACAGCCGAGGGGGATGGAACTGCTGGCTGATGCAAAAGCAGCAGAGAGGCCAAGCCTCTACTTACAACTCATAACTCTTTCAACTGAGCTCTTGTTTAATGCAAAGGGTCATTTTTGTGTCAGTTGCTTCCCTGGAGAAAGAACGGAGAAAATCTTTTTTCCTTCCATCTCCGCTTCACACCAGAGCAGTATTTCTGGAGAGGGACTTTGGGAGATACTGGCATCATTAGATGTCCCAAAGCCAAAGGCCCTTTTGCATTTTATCTGTTCTTAAAGAAAAGGATTATAAAAAGGCAGTCAGGTAGTATCCTACAAAATCAAATAGAAAGTATTTTCTTCAGCACCTTGCAAATCACAACATACATAGAGGTGTGATGCTAATAGTTTTGCATGAAGTCATCTGAGCAGGATAAATCAAAGTCCTCATGGCTGTGATGAAATGGGCTCCCATGGAGCAACAGAGGAAGGCCGTTTGCTTTGCTTTAGTCTTCATTTAAAAAAATAATAAAGTTGCCAAGCACAATGGCCCGTGCCTGTAATCGTGGCACTTTGGGAGACTGAGGTGGGAGGATTGCTTGAAGCTAGGAGTTCAAGACCAGCCTGGACAACATAGCAAGACCCCATCTCTACAGGAAAAGTAAAAAATTAGAAAAAAATTATCTGGGCATGGTGACACCTGCCTGTGGTAGCAGCACTTTGGTAGGCCAAGGTGAGAGGATCGCTCAAGGCCGGGAATTCAAGACCAGTCTGGGCAACATAGTGAGACCCCATTTCAAAAGAAAAAAACAAAACAATAGAAATGGTTGAAGATGGGGGAAAGGGAGATGAAGGGGGAAAAAGAGGTCAAGAAAACTACCGGCGTATGACACATCGCTTGGACCTTTGGGCACAATCATATTCCATGCTACAGGCATTTCAGATGAGCCAATAAATTTCCCTTATATATAAGGTTAAAAAAAAAAAAATGGTTGAAGACATTCATTCCACCTTACTCGGGAGATGCTGCCCATTATTTCCTGCTTTTAGTAGCCTTGAAGGTGATCCAGACTTTGCAAAACCTTCTTGAGCTCTTCCTTTGATGCTGGGAGCAGTCCAGGATCTAGCCCCTGAGGATCTAGCCCCTGAGGATCTAGCCCATGAGGATCTGTATGAGTTTCCTGATGTTGCTATGACAAATTAACACAAATGTATTATCCTTCAGTTCTGGAGGGCAGAAGTCTGAAGTGAGTCTTAAAGGGCTCAAGATAAGATGTTGGGATGGCTGCTTCTGGAAGCTCTCGGGGAAAATCTGTTCTTTGACTCTCCAGCTTGCTTTTAGAGGCTGTTTACCTCTCTTGGCGCATGGCCATACCACTCTGAGCTCTGCCTCCACTGCCATACCTCCTCATCTTCCTCTGGCCTTCATGGCTCCTTCTTATAAGGACTTTAGGATGACTGGATCCACCTAGATAATCCAGGATAATCCTTCCATCTCAAGATCCCACTTCAGTCCTGCCTGCAATGTCCCTCTCACCAGGTAAGGTAACATATTCACAGACCCCAGAGATTAGAGCATGGATATCTCTTGCAGCGGGTGAGAGTAAATCTAATTATTCAACCTATTGTGGTTGCTTAAGGTACCCAGAGTTAGTTTCTGTTGCTTACAACCAAAACCTAACTCATGTATTTCTTCTATTTGATCTCTACAATAGAGAAAAAAATAAATACTTTTTGATTATTGTTGAAAACTAGGAAGATAATCGTAGATAAACTAAAAGTAAATTGTTGAACATTCTTGGTAAATTGTTCCAAAGAATAACCCTTTATTACCAGTCCCGGCACAGTGTGTAAATGATACAGTGTGTCTAGTCCAAATGAGGACAGCCTGGTGTTTACCCCAGGAGGTTCACCCTAGAATCGTCCAGTTCCCAACAGAATGGAGTAGCTCCCTTGACCCAGCGTGTCTGATTCTCTTTGGCAGGATACTGAAATTCTGAACACTGCCATACTCACGGGAAAGACAGTCGCCATGCCCATCAAGGTGGTCTCTGTGGAGGAGAACAGTGCCGTGACGGACATCTCAGAGGCGGTGGAGTGCAAGTCCACAGATGAGGACGTTATCAAAGTAAGTCATTCCACAGCCAGCTGGAGGAACTGGTAGGATTTTCACTTGGACATCCCATTTGCTAAGAACACTCATACTGAAATATACGAGGTTCACTGTACAGAGGCTTGTGTGCAACACGCTTCCAGCCGATCCACTCAACGTTTCCCTTCCCATCTCTTTGTTTTGGCATCATGCCAGCTTAGTTGGGGTTTTTGGTTCATTCCTGACTTTCTTCCCTTTATTTGACAATTGAAAATTGTGTGTGTGCATGTGTGCGTGTGTGTGCGTGTGTGCACACGTGTGCGTGTATAATGCACAACATATTATTTTAGAATACATATACATTAGGGAATGGCTAAATTCAGCTATTAGGCTGTTGCAAAGGTAATTGTGGTTCTTGCCGTTGCTTTTAAGTGCCAGGATCCACAATTACTTTTGCACCAACCTAATAATTAACATATGAGTTACCTCACATGCTTTTTTTTTTTTTTTTTGGTATGATGAAAACTTAATCTACTGTCTTAGCAATTGTCAAGAATATGTTATTACACTCTAGGAGGCTGAAGTGGGTGGATCACCTGAGATCAGACCAACCTGGCCAGCATGGTGAAACCCCATCTCTACCAAAAATACAAAAATTAGCTGGGCATGGTGATGTGCACCCATAGTCCTAGCTACTTGGGAGGCTGAGATAGGAGAACCACTTGAACCCAGGATGCAGAGTTGCAGTGAGCCGAGATCGTGCCACTGCCCTCCAACCTGGGTGACAGAGACTCTGTCTCAAAAAAAAAAAAAAAAGAATATATTATTAATAACCAAATTCAACATATTGCACCAAAAACCTCTTGAACATACTCCTTCTCCTCTCTAATTGATGTTTTGTACCCTTTGACTAGTATCTCCCCTTACCCAGCTGTCCCCTTACCCAGCCCTCGGGAACTGTCATTCTAGCTCTGCTTCTGTCAGCTCAACTCTCCTAGGTTCCACATGTACATGACATCATGCAGTATTCGTCTTTCTGTGCCTGGCTTCCTTCACTTAACGTGATGCCCTGTGGGTTCGTCCATGTTCTAACAAGTAATAGGATTTCCTTGTTTTTTAAGGCTGAATAGTCTTCCCTTGTGTTTGTGTACCACATTCTCTTTACCACTTATCCCTTGGTGGACCATCCGTGGTGCTTTGGACTGTGGGTCAAATCCTGAACGCCTACTGTAGCTAGGCAAGTGACTTAAATAAGTGGTCAGTTGGATCTGCCTATTCTAGAAGGCAGCCAAGATTCTGCTCTTTGTCTTTCCCAGCAAGGCAATTGCTATAACCAGTTGTGATCATGAGGTAATAGGAGTTCAGTATTTTATATCTTCAACAGAATGGAAAACATAGATTTTGGGGTTGGGGGGGAACCTAGTTTTTCAAAGTTAGCAATAAATTGTAATTTTTTAATGGGCAAAAAAATAAAAAGCAAAATACATTTGCGTAATGGGGGTTGGCCCGTGGGGTAACTGTTTAAAAGCACTCTTCTAGAGTAGGGGTTGGCAAACCACGAGCCAACCTACCACCAAACATGGGCCAAACCTAGTCACCACCTATTTTGTAAATAAAGTTTTATTGGAACACAGCCACTCAAATTCACTTCCATTTTGCCTGTGGCTGCCTTGGGGGCTACCACAGGAGAATTGAGTGGTTGACAGAAATCATATGACTTAGAAAGTCTAAAATATCCAGCATTTTGCTTTTCTCAGAAAAGGTTTGCCTCGAGTCATGTGTGCTCTAGAGTTTTCAGTTTTTTGAAGAAAGACCTGCAGTTCCTGGTGTTTCCTGTCATTAGTCAGGTTGCTACAGCAAAGTGTTTGCTTAAAGAATAAGGCGATGCAACGGCTTTACCAAGCCGGAAATGGAGTCTCTGTGTATCTTTTGTAATCCCTGGAAACACATCCAGAAAAAAACAAAAATCAAAAAAGAGCATTCAGGTATTGCTTTTTTATTTTTGTTTCCCTTGAATACAGTCTGACAGACAGCAATCAGTCTTTTCTCTGGTGTTTAAAGCTCCATGTCTGAGCAGACAAGAACCTTACGAACTGTTGAGGTGGAGAAACGGCGTGGAAAAAATACTTCCCTGCAAACCCCACCCCCAGAACAAGCAGCAGACCCCCATGCACTCAGCACCACCATCAGTGATGTCTACATGCAACCATGATAGCATTCCGGCAGGGGCAGTAAACACTCCAGCAACATCCGTATACTGTGACCATCCTCCTGACTGCTGGAGGTGGTGTCTCAAGGAAGGGCTTTTTTCCCTAATTCACCCAAAATTGACATATGGGCTGTGGTGGCCTTGAATCCAGAGTGCTTTAACAGAAAGACCACAAGGCCCATGGCAGGAGGAGGAGAAGGGGGAGGAAGTTCTAAACCACATGTCCAGTAAAAACCCAAGGTGAGCCACATAAGAAATTTTAAATTTTCTAATAGTCACGTTCAAAAGAAATTTTAAGATAAGTTGAATTTAATTGTAATAATGCATTGTGTTCAACCCATTATATTAAAACATTATCATTTCCCCATGTAATAAATATAAACATTAATAATGAGATATTTTATGTGTTTTTACTCTAAGTCTTTGGAATCTAGTGTGCGTTTTATACTAACAGCACATCTAAACCGAAACTAGCCCCATTTCCAGTGCTTCGTAGCCATGTGTGGTTTGTGGTTCCCACAGTGGATGGCACAGGTCCTTGCTCATTGCTGGCCTTTGTTACTGATTTACAAACCCCCTAAAAGCCAGAACCCTTGATGAATGTCACGTGTTGATAGGACACCTCTAGCAATGGTAACTTTTCTAGAGGTAAAGAACCTATCTTTCAGCCTATAAAACCCAAGAGGGAAACAACCCAAAATGTATCACAACTGTATACATAGCAATCCTTAGCTACTCTTAAAACAATTTTGACATGGAGTCCATTACTAGTATCTCCAGGAATTATAATCAGTGTCTTTAGGGAAATAAATACATTCAAACAAAAAACTGCCTCCTGAAATGAATCCAGAGTTGATACCCCTGGCTGTTGACAAAGCAATGTGAAATTTGAGTCAGCAGAAGCTGGGCGAGGACATCTGAGCAGGCAGCTTGTTGTACATGAGCACAGTCCCTAGGCCCCAGGCTTAGCTTGTGGCCTTGGGTCTGATGAGATCAATGATACTTGCAGTGCTAGTTGTGGACAGCTGCAAGAGGGGAGGGAGCTGACATTTAATCAGAGCCAGCTCTGCAGCAGGCCCGTGAGGTTTTTGGATTTAGTCAAGAATTCTGAAGACTCCGAGACTGCACCCTAGTGTAAACTGGCAAATCAAACTGTCACAGTTTTACGGATGCTGGCAGAAGACAAAAGACCCCAGGGTCAGAGACAAAGAACAGCCACCGTATCAGCATCTTCCTGTGCCTGTTGCCTGGACTTCAGTTCCCACCGGGTTATGCGGAGGGGGCCAGTGACGCTTGCACGTGTAGCGGATTGGGTTTCAGGAGAGGAATCCTGACCTTAGAGAATGTGCGTCTTTTCTGATGGGTGGTATTATGGTCTGTATGTTTGTATCCCGCCCTGAATTCATCTGTTGAAGCCCTTAACACCCAATGCAATGATATGAGAGGTAGGGCCTTTGGGAATTAACTAGGCTTCGATGACATCATGAGTGTGGAGCTCCCATCATGGGAGCAGTACACTTATAAGAAGAGGAAAAGAGACAGAGCTTGCCGTCTCTCCCTTGTGTGAGGAATGTGAGGATATAGCAAGAGGGCAGCAGTCTGCACGCCAGGAAGAGGGCTCTCAGCAGGACCCAACCATTCTGGCATCCCGATCTCAGACTTCCCAGTCTCCAGAACTGTGAGAAATAAATGTGTGTCGTTTAAGCCACTGACTTATGGTATTCTGTAAAAGCAGGCCAACCTGACTTAAGGCAGGCAGGAAGTCTGCCTGACCTCCCCAAAGAGACCATGCCTTTGTCATCCTGGACCTTAAGCGTGTCTGCCCTTTGCTCCAGAAGAAGGCACTGTCTCTCTTCCAAGACTGTTCACTATATAAAACACCTTTGAAAAGACCTTTCAGAACAAAAACAGTCAGTGCTGTGCTTGTACAATGTGCTGAAATGCAAGGGTGTCATGGAGAATTTCTCCCAAAGAGTTCTTCATGGCTTTGCCACATTCGAGTTATGAAGTCTTGGGTGATTCATAGTGCTCCCTCCAGGACTCAGTCTCCTTCTTAGTAAAATGGGGATAAGCACAGTTACTAATTCAAAAGGTCAGCATGAGGATTAATCAGCTTTACAAATCCAGCAGAGAACATGACCTAGTAGCCAGCGTATAGGAAGGGCTTACTAACTCAGAGTCCACTCTAGTCATCTCATGTAATCCTCTGATTGGGTAGATCAGGGATTAGGACTGGAGGCTACAAGAATATTTTGCGTGATATGCACAGTGTTGCTTAAAAAGAACACAATGCAACTCATTTCAAGTGTACAATTCAATGACTTTTAGTAAATGATGCTAAGTTCAGCAGCCATCACCACGATCCAATTTTAGAACATTTTTGTCACAGTTAATCCGCATTCTCTAAGCTGGTTTCTGTCTCTGCAGATTTTCCTGCTGTGGGCATGTCCTGTGAATGACAGCATACAATACGTGGTCTTTGTGTCCCTTTTTCCACTTAGCGTTATGTTTTTGAAGCTCATCTACACGCTAGCATGGGGCAGTCGTGTGTATCTTGTATTGCTGAATAATATTCCACTGTATGGATATACCATATTTTGTTCATCCATTTACCCAGATGGGTTGTTTCTGCTCTTTAAATGTTTCATGCATTTATGAATAATGCTGCAATGAATATTCACGTTTATGTCTTTGTGTGGACTTACATTTGCATTCCTCTTGAGTAGATGCAGAGGAGGAGAATGGCTTGGCCGTATGATAATCTTCCATTTAATTCTTGAGAAACTGCCAACCTTTTCTCCAAAGAGGCTGCATCATTTTGCATTCT